CATGCACACATAAACTAAAAGCTGAAATTGCCTATTGTAAAATGAGGAATATTTTACAATATTTTACACTTTATTGCATATTATCCGGCATCTAACACAAGATTCCTTAATTGAGAAAATGAATCCTAGCTACATCAAGAAATTTTAAGGACCTTTGTTGCTTTGGGGGCCCTTTTGAGCTGACAGCCCAGGGCAAAATGCCCCCCTCTTGACCCTGGGCTGGCAACCCTGCCCCCGCACCTCGGGAAGATTCCCACTCCCCAAGTTACAAAAATATGTAGAATGAAACAGCCATGGCAGTTTCAGCGATATCAACTTGTTTCTTAAAAAGGTACAAACAGCACGAACCGAACCAACAGATCACGAAAGAGGAACGTTAGAGAGATTAAAAGCAAGCGAATTAGATCAACCAGAGGTCATTAGACGGAAAAGGAAGCGAACAAAAGGACCAAATCCTCTGTCCTGTAAAAAGAAGAAAGCGAAGTTAGACCATTCCATCACGAGTCATGTAAGTTCAAGCAAAAAATGTGATAACATTTCTTGGAAATTTCAAAATCTTTGAAAATTTTTGAAACTCAAAAGATGTTTCCCAGCAGTTGCCACGGGTGGATAAATATTTTATTTTCTGGGACTTTGAAAATTTTCTGGAAATAATCAAGTAAATCGACACTTGGACACTAACAAGTTGTCAAACTGAATATCATGCTATATTTTAATTATTTAAAAAAAATTAACTTCAGTACACTGAAAATCTTAATATAAAACTAATTTAGATAACATGCACCAAACCAAGGGTCTGATCCTAAGGTGAATTATCGCAGATGCTAAAAAAGGGCACTACCAAGGGATCCATGTTTTTTAGTAATTCACTTAAATACACTGCCTTTATATGAACTTAAATGAGACTAGCAATAATGCATGGGCAGTGGGCAACTATAGTATGGGTTCAAATCCGTATAAACTTTTATGTTGTACATTTTTAGAAATCATCGTCAAGAAAACGAAGAAGACACAAACTTCCTGCTCACGTTCTCGAGGCTTTAAAACAGAATACGTGATGAAGATACATGCATGTAAGTGTGTCTATGTAAGAATGGACTATATAGAGGCCTTCGTTGAGGCATTGGACTAGTGGACAATAGATTGGTGTCTGGACTCAGGGCTCGAAATAGCGGGCTGCCAATGGCCAAAAGCAGTATATATATCGGGGGCATGGCGGCAAGAATAAGTCAGCATTATTTCTGCTATTAAATTCGTCAGTCTTTTAGACATACTGCAGGACAACAGGCTATAATCTTGACTTAATTGTACCCACTGATGTCCACCATGGAATTAGTGATATTGACTAATGCATAAAACATATATTAAAAGGAATGAAGTGTGATTAAGGTTTTTTTATTTAAACATGTTTGCTCGAAAGCTTTGCAAACTATTTAGTAAACTGATTCAATGTTTACCACCGATTCAGTTGCTCAAACATATCTTACAAATCCTTGAGAACTTAAAATTTCCCCATGGAAAATTCCTACTGTGATCACAGAAACTTTGATAGTGAAAACCAACCATAATAATTAGCGGTCGTGGTAAGTCCCACCAAAAAAAAAATCATATTTGTTTGGACATAATCTCGTCAAGACTTTACCTAAATTTGTATGTATATTAAAATTATAATTTTTTTTTACTTGAAAGAGGAACTTCGTTGTGATATGTTTAGCTTTGATTGCAGGTCGAAACGTGAACGTTGGGCATATAAACAATCGAGCAAACAATCGTATGAACATCTCAAGTTTATGATCTCGTGAGGATAAACCTCCTCATCGAAACCACCTCCGATTAAGGCATCATTAAACCATGCATCTTAGCCTACGGCTAGATAGTTTTCAATGCATGTTTATACATGTTAAAACATAGTGATAGCCTGTCGTTTCTTTATATTGTTAATCTTTATATAATAGTCTTTTTTTAACCAATATACTTTATTCAAAATTATCTAACAATAACTTTAACATAATTTGGACTTTGAACAAGAGTGAAAGGACTTAGTTTTGTTTACCTATCATGTTCATTTAAAGCACATATTTACACATTTACTTATTAGAGCAAAACGTTCCCTAATTATTCAATATCGAAACCAATTTTTGGCTTTAGCGTATCTCTTTGGCTTTCATACAATTTCTAGCATGCGAAAAAGTCGTTAAGTCGTTAAAGGTTGAGTTAATTAGTGTCATATCGATTAATTTATTGGTTTCTTTGTGTCCATCCAGACGAGTCTTTGTTCAATGTGACATTTAGTGGGCGCAAGGCCAGTGGCGGGAAAATCTGGGGCGACTGAAGCTGCCAAGTCGGCATTTTCATTGTACACGTGAACAGAACATGCCACCTCATAATCATGGGCTGCTTGCCAAGTTGGTCTCAAATAATCGAAAGATCCATTATCGTGAATGTGTGGACATATTACAAGGGATATACCCCAGTGAAGGTAAACTAAACGAGTGGGATTTGTAATGAAAGTTGATATTTAGATGGTTGTTATTCAGTATTGGACTTTCCCCAAACGTGTTTGCACAAGGCAACCAATCAGAATTAACCTGCATCACAGCCATTTATAAATAGAAGCGCTAGAACAGAATTGTCGAAAGAAAACAAAGAGCACACCGTGTTATGTTTTGCAGCTGAGAGTTCGAGAGGAGTGCAATAGATGAAAAACATTTTGAGTTTTTTGCACAAGAAGTTGCAACTGTGGTATTATGTCATATCTGAACTGTGCAATAATCCTTGGAAACCATACAATGGATGTAGCAGACAAGCTACGGGATATAGGAGACGAATTGGAAGCAGAGCGGTTGGCAAATCTGTCTCGATGGAAGGACTTTACAAGGCGTTTGAGCGGAATTGCTGTTTGCCTTGGACTATTACTGCTTGGGACAACCATTGTAAAATTGAAAAAATAACATACACTGCGATTTTGGGCTGCAAACGGTGCGAAGTGATGAGCATTGCTCAATTGACGCAGCGCCAGCCAGAATTATATTTACATTGGCAAGCATCTTTCCTTTTCTGGGTTTAATGGTGAATATTATTTATGAAAAACTGGTGTGGTGCATTAACCATTTCGGTGGAAAAAATTGTGGTGTGTTTTTTTTTCCTTGGGGATTTTTTGAATTGGGTGAACTATATATTCATTGGGAAAACTACGGTACTCGTTGACATGGTGTGATCCGCGTCTGTAAATTGAAATTGAAAGGTGCAACTTGCAATGGCAACTTTGCACGTTTGGTCACGCCAAGGAACGATATTGCATTTCTTGACTGACTTGTGGTTTATCAATATGTTATCTAAACTGCATTAGGAAACATTGTATACTATGTTATAATTGTATATCTTGGGAAACAAAGTGGTCATTATGTAACTAATATGTATATAAATTATACAGTGTATAGCTATGAGGTTTTAGGGATAAAATGTATTTAACACTATGTAAATATCGTGTAACATGTAAAATCACGCATCGAATAAATATGGGCTTTTATAGGATACTCTGCAGCCTAAATATGGTATGACTTATTTTGTTTTGAAATTTGATTATTTCTACGTGCGGAAATTAGGTAATGTTTTAATTTAGGATAAGCTGCACGGTTAATCTCCATATTTCTATTGTCTATTGTTTTACAGTCCCGCGGGGTGCCATCAATACTGTCATGTCATCGCATTCTATTCAAAAGTCATCTTACACTCTTAAGATTACGAGTCTGTCTTTGTTCTGACAATTAAGTGTCGCTAGGTATCCAATTGTTTGGTACTAAAGTAGAGAAAGAAGCGTATAAAGAGAGTGCACTATCCTTTGTTGAGCGCAAGGCGTTTATGACTTTAAGATCTTATATCGGCGGCAAAGAGCCGGCACTGTTGATGTTCAATTTAGAGAGGCGCTCTCGCACACTTCAGCTCTACAGCCTCCACTTATTTTGTTCCACAGAGAGAGCGATTTACAGCCAATATAGCGCACTTAACCAGTTAAACCATTAGCGCTATGATTAATGTGAACAAAGAATCAGATAATTCTTTATGGATTCGTTCTCCCACAACAGAGGCGTTTTCTAAACCACATCAAATGTGCGATATAACCACAAACAGAAGGTCGACTCAGCCAAAAAAGCATAACCGCTGCTACGCAATGATTCGTCATCAAAATGCTGTCGCCATGTTCCTAACTGGTGCGATTATGAGAGGCATTCACCCCCCTGAACTTCCGCCATTTTGAATATTTTCAGGAGGGGGGGGGGGGGTGAAAACCAAGTAATAGCGAGTTTTTAGGAAGGGACGTTTTTGTCAACACATACGTTACCCGAAAATTCGTATCATTGCATCAAAGCGCTCGTGTAAAGAAGCGAAAAGTTTAAAAATCTTATGTTTTATCATATGTGTTTTTTAGAAGAGTTAATTTAACTCCAGTGACAAATATCGCGACCGGAAATTACTCAGGAAGACAAGTAATACTAACTACTCACAAGCTCGATTGTTTTGCGAGCTTTCTGTTCTTTTGCTTCTTTTCAAATTTACGTCCAGTTACAAACACAAAAGAAAGTTAGCTGGAATTGTAGTTCTACACGTCAATGTCGAGTGTTTCCAACCGCAGCATTTGGTTGCCCGAAATGTCAAAAGTTTCCCGAAATGTCAAAAGTTTCCCGAAATGTCAAAAGTTGCCCGAAATGTCAAAAGTTGCTCGAAATGTCAAAAGTTGCCCGAAATGTCGAAAGTTGCCCGAAATGTCAAAAGTTGCCCGAAATGTCAAAAGTTGCCCGAAATGTCAAAAGTTGCCGAGCATCACTTCTCAGTCTACTGCATGCAAATTGAATTTAATGAAACAAATTTCGGTGTGTCTTTCATTTCCTTTGACTAAATAGTAATATCTCAACTTCAACATCATGACAAAATACATATACCGAGGTGGACAGGCCAAAGAAATTGCCCAATTTTTAATTAAGTAGAATCTACTCGGCTAAACACTAACTAGGTGGTGCTGCAGACCCCTCCCCAACCTCCCATCTCCACACACCCATGCCCCTGTATCGTACGCCTATGTTAGCTCAGCCAGGAGAAAATAAAACACGCCTGCCCCTATACCATCCGGTTGAAACCAGTGCTCTTGGGAACAAAGCTTCACTTGGACATGGACCATATTTTTATCAACATGCAAATGTGGAGCATCATTGACCATTTGCGTAACAGACTAAATTTTGAACTAAACAAGTCTAGACAAAAATTTCATTACAGCTTGAAGGAGCATCGCAAAATTAGTAATATTCCAAAGTTTCGTTGCAAAATGTTGTAAAATGCGGAAAATATAGGCATATAGCCTTGCGAAATTTGCAATTTTCAGTCATTTTAGATTACAAACGGGAAATTGACAGTCCCAAACCCTTCGAGGCTGTCAATTTCCGGTTTGTAATCTAAAATGACTGAAAATTGCAAATTTCGCAAGGCTATATTTTCCGCATTTTACAACATTTTGCAACGAAACTTTGGAATATTACTAATTTTGTGATGCTCTTTCAAGCTGTAATGAAATTTTTGTTGAGATCAAAATTTAGTCTATTACGCAAATGGTCAATTGAATGCATTGTCACAAACAGACGGGCACAAGATCGAGATCTCGACTATAGCTGAAAGCAGCCATTAGAGAATAAATCCCCTTCATTATATTAAGTCTTAATTACAATTATCAATTTCGGTAATTCAATTGTGATCTTGTGATAAGTAATACAAAGAGATCGATGTTTCAGCAACATTTTATTGAATACCTCTATACCGACTGTAGATTTGGTTGCTATGGTATGACAACAAATAGTGTTGAATAACAAACAAACCCCTAAGAAGCTTATGATGCTTGTAAGTAATGTATTGTAGTCAGTAGAATGATAGCAAAAGCCTCTGTGAAGGTCGAGAGTCGAATAAGCATGACCAGATGAGCTAGGGTGGCGTGTATGTTTCACACGCGTGTGTGTTTCACGTATGCGTGTGTTTCGCGTGCGTGTTTCACCGTGGTTTCACGTGCCGTGTGTGTTTCGTGTGCGAATTTCACGTGCGTGTTTCCCGCGCGCACTCCACGAAGTGGCGTATTTGGGGACGAGGCTGTTTCGTATATAGATACACAGCATGTACCCAGCATCAATTTCGAGCGGTTTATTAGAAAAAATCTGCCATCTGGAAAAGCGCGATCATTGCAAATCATCTTCACATTTTCAATTTTCTCTCATCTCAATTTCCTGAATCGTTGACTATATCAGATAACGAGCGATGACAAAATGATTATGATCGTAATGAATATTTTCCTTTGTAAACAAATTTTTCTTTAATAGAACACCAACGAGGAGGCTACTACTAAAAAGCGATACAGCGATACAACGATACAGCGATACAGGAACCGGAACCTGGAACTGGAACCGTGCATAATTTATGCAAATTAGAGCATTTTGCACCACATCAGATATATATGATAATAATTTACAGGGGGGGGGGACGCAATTCAAAGATAGTACAATATATTACAAGTGAAGCATTTTGATTTTCTAAACAAAAG